CGCTGTTCTCGGAAGAAGCCTGCACAATTGCATCTTGGGGCCGGTTCACACCAGCACCACAATCCCACTGATCCACCTTCTGCATTTTTTCATACCACTAGTATAAACAGCCCTGGAGAACTGTCTGACTTCCTAGATCTATCTTCTTTCCTGCCCTCCCTCCTTCCCTTCCCTCCCTTTCTCCCTTTCCTTCCTCCCTTCCTTTTTCCTTCCTTCTTCTTTCTCCCCTTCCTTCCTTCCTTCCTTCCTTCCTTCCTTCCTTCCTTCCTTCCAATAGTAGAACTTCCCCTACAAAAAGTCCTGAATTCAGAATTCAAGGAATTTCAAGGAAGTCTGGAAAAGATTCTTCTCGAGCCTCTGGAGACAACTAGCATTGGACTCAACTGTCCACCTCAGCATAAATGAGGGGACTTCTATGTCAGCTTTCCTCTTCTTACCAGGGGAGAACAGAAACAATAAACGCAGCTTTACAGCGATGCTTCAAAAGGTCGGTGCCATGCCTGAAGAAAGTTTCAGGAACCAGGAGGGTGTATAATCAAGGCAATACAGCACAGCCATTTAAATTGAGTCAGGCTTCCTTTTGACAAGCAAATCCAGATACGTTATAACCACGAGGACCAACTGGTAATGCACACTCGGTTACTTTGCATCCAGATGTAAAATTCTGCTTTTTTGAAGGAGTCAGGCCATCCCTCCCTACAGACTTCATAACATTGCCTCTGCCTGATAGATTTAATTTACTCAATATTTTCCTTTGATAGAAGGCAAATGCTTTGCTTGACACGTCCTCTTTATGAGCCTGCTTGATCTGCAAACAAGGGAACTCATACCTAAAGTTCCCTGTGGGGAAGCAAATGTTATACTATTAATGGTATTAAAGGAAGATCAAGGAAACTTCAGTGTCAGAAAAAAGAGCTATCCAAACTGAAACATGCACCGAGGCACCACACACCAGTATGCAGGGACACAAAATACACATGAAGAAGACACCAAAAGGAAACACAACAGATTGCCAAAGAGTGAACATCAAATGGAAAGCAAAGTTGGAAGTGAACTGCTGAGTAGATGGATGGAGGCAATGCTTGAACACCAAGATCCACTGGAATGAGCTGCTTTTATTCAGAATTTGCTGCTTTCCTCTTTCTCTCTGGCTTTCCAAACCAGCCTCCAACCAGCAGGAAATGGTGAAGTGGGAGCCCCGTTGCCAGATGCATCCCACCCAGAAGGGCACCATGCCAGGGCTGGAAGGCAAAGGGACAGCTAAGCTGGTTAAGGAAGGCCATTCTGCCCTTTCTCAAAGGCTCACATGCGACTCCACATTGGCCAGGACTCACTTCCACTGGGCAAAGAGGACCCATCGCATTTCAGGTGGGTGGCTGGGTGGCAGAGAGACAGAGGAATCGTTGGTGCGTCTGTAGACAACGATGTGCCTCTTCTGGGTGGCTTTCATTGCTACAAGTGTCCCCCAAAGGATCTTGGGATATGTAGTCTGGGAATGGTTAGAGCTGCCATCTCTAACGTTCATATATGTTGGGACTGCAATTTCCAGAATCCCCTGATCTGTTGGGACTGCAACTCCCACAATCCCACAATCGGTTGGGACTGCATTTCCCATAATACCCCAGCTTGTTGGGACTGCACTTCTAGAATTCGGGGAGTTACAATCCCACAGACCTGAAGGATGGCAGGATGGGGACATGTGAACGTAGAAGCTCCCTTCCTAAAGGAGTCCTTGTTTGCCCAGAGGAAGTACAAGTGAGTGTGAAATTCGTTCACTGTGTACTATAGATATACTCCTTGAGTTTTTCTGCTCAGTAGCAATATAAGATTCATTGCATACCTGCACATTCACAGACACACTCAGACAGCTCAACTTGTTTGGCCTTCTTTAAGGATCAAGTCTCAGAAGACGAACCTTGGGGCACTAAAGAAGGCCAGCATTGTCCTCATTCCAACAATGCTCGAAGATCCGTAAGAAGGCCAGCATTGTCCTCATTCCAACAATGCTCGAAGATCCGTAAGAAGGCCAGCATTGTCCTCATTCCAACAATGCTCGAAGATCCGTAAGAAGGCCAGCATTGTCCTCATTCCAACAATGCTCGAAGATCCGTAGAAGAAGATGACTTCTTAATCCCCTTTTTGGTGCAATTTCTTTATGAGACTTATTTATAGGATGAAATATGTGGTGTCAGCCCTTCAAAGAAGGGCAGATTAAGAAAGAGACACCACATGAATTCTAGGAAAGCTATTTTATTGGAGTAACGTAGACTAACCAAATCTCGAAAGCCTGTGTGAATTTCTCTCTGTCCCTTCTTACCCTAAACAAAATCAAGGCTGGATATTTTGGGTCTTTTTCTTACGCGTCCTTCTATCTCTGGACCATGTAACCTCTTCTCCATGTCCTTCCACTATCTCAAACTCTTATTTCCAGAAAAGGGAGCCCAGTTCCTAAGCAAATCCTGGGTTGCCCTTGTCTGGTGTTTTTATTTTGTAAACATGTTAACGGAGCCCATAATAAGCTCAGAGACATTCTTGGACATAAAAATAATGTGGTGGGCTGGCGCTTTGCTTCACAGCTTGCTTCTCTTTAATTAAAGGGTTGGAAAACAAATAAAATTGGGGCAACCGTGCAGGCGCCAAGGCTGAGGCTGGTCCTGGTGGAGAACCAGCAGCTTTGGTTAGGGAACTCGGGTTCACCACAACGGCTTCTTTTTCCTGATGCCTGAAGCTGTTTCGAAATTAATTTGCTTTTTGTTTTTTCTAATATGAAGTTCAGGCTGATCTCATTGGCAGTGGAAAAAAAAAAGATATTTAAACAGAGAGGACAAGGAGATCCACCTGAAGAAAGGGCACAGCAGAATGGACATCTGTCATGCACATCATAAACTCAGGTGCAATATGAGCTTGTCCCAGTTTTTCTTCTGTCCCCAAAATTGTACTATTATTTGCCTTAATCTCTATGGAGCTGCAAACCCTCCCAAAAGGGTTTAAGACCTGCAAGAAAAGTGGGTATGCATCAGAGTGTGGGTGAAGCGACCAGGATGATCAATGTATGCCCACAATAATAAACGCTTCTGGAAACCATGTTGTGTAAAAGATCAACCTTTGCCAGAATCTTGAGAATAACAGCAGAAACACCTTTGTAAAAGTCAACCCATGAGAGAGAAAGAAAGGACAGGATATGTCCCATATACCTTACCTGATCTCAACTGCTTGATTCTTCCATTGCTAGCACTGGGGTCAACAGGCAAGAAATCTTTAAACCAAGTTATCTCTGGATCTGGGTTCCCGCTAGCCGCACATAGCATCGTAGCTGTCCGCGTACGTTCCACCACCTTCAGCTGAGGGCCCATGTCAATAGCGGGGAACCCAGGAGGCAACTGGTCCTCTGTTCAAAGCCAGCAAAGAAGAGAAGGGTTAGAATCTGTGGACCCATCAAAGCAGGAAGCATAAACTTTGAAGATGATCTGCTCATGTTATGCCTTAATGATATCACCTGTATTTGAAAAAACCAACCAACCAACCAACCAAAAACTTCTGTTCCCAAGAACAGTTCCCATGAACAAGGATGGTGAGATGCTTCTCTCAAATGAACAGAACTGGTTTTGTAACCAAAATTGAGCAGGTCAGTTTTCAGAAGACTGAAAATACATTACTGCTTTATGGAAGGTTGTAATCGGTAGAAGAAACAACCTTGAGGAACAGGAGGAAGAGCCTCAACCAAGAAAACAGGCAGATAAAAGAAATCTGAGACTAAACCAGAAATGTAATTTGAGAAAGTGTCTTAGATAGGCCACTCCCTAGTTCTCATGAAGATAAAGGAAGCGAGGGGGGAAGCACATTCAGACTTGCAAGATTCTGTTACTATAACCTTATAATTAAAGTGGTACAGGTGGCCCTTGCTTTACGACCACAATAGGGACTGGAAAATTCATTGTTAAGCGGTGCAGTCATTAAGCGAGGCATCATGTGACTGCACCCGATTTTATGACATTTTTGTGGTGGTCATTAAGCGAATCATGTGGTCATTAAGCGAATTACACAGTTCCCCACTGATTTTGCTTGTTGGAAACTGGCTGGGAAGATTGCAAATGGTGAGCACTTGACCTTGGGATGCTGCACCCATTGTAAATACTGTACATGCTGGTTGCCAAGCGCCCAGATTGCAATCACATGACTGCGGGGGTGCTGCAACGGTCGTAAGTACAAGGACCAGTTGTAAACAGTTTTTTTAAGCGCCATCATAACTTCAATTGGTCGCTAAATGGTCGTTAAGTGAGGACTACCTGTATTAGCTTGCATGACAAAAACACTTTAAGATTATGGAATACATAGCTCTCCACTGTAAACAGGATTATTATGGAGCAGGCATTATATCTCAACAGCTATTATTATTATCATCATCATCATCATCATCAGAGATGACGATGAAGAGGGTTCTGCTCTTCTTCTCAAAGGCTGCTTCAAAGCTCCATGCCTAAAAATAGTGTTTTAAAAAAAGATACATCCATATTTTGAAAAAGACAATAAATACCCAATAAAATAATATAACAGGTTTTCACGAGAAAGTCCATTTAAGAAACCAAGATAGCTAAAAATAGAAACTCCTTGTTTAGAAGAGGGATATCATGGAAAGTCAGATGCTGGAGCCAAAAAGGAACTGAAAATTTTCATTGAGCTGCTCCCATGGACTGTATGTTGGCAACGCTCTGCCTCTAGGGTCTGGTAGCACATGGCAGACTGCCATATTTAGAGGCCATAGTTAGTGATGAATAGTTGTGGACAGATCAGTCCTCCTCTAATTTTTTTTTTGGACCACCTCCCCTTTTTAAAATGGTGTCTAAACTGGAGGCCACAAATGGTACAGATTAAACAGATGTTAACATGAAGAGCTGGAAGATCTGCAACTAATTGGTGAAAGCACCGAGGAGGTCTTGGGTGACCTTCCATTCTTCTTGTGAACTTCCCAGACCCTTCTGACCAAATTCTGTGGGATTAGATGGGCCCCTGGCCTGATCCAGCCCCAGGACTCTTGTTTTTGCAAAAGCCTACTTGCAGAAATTAAAAAAATATTTTGATTTCCCTCTTTGGAACTTACAGGGAGGACATAATAGAAAGCTATAAAAATTGGGCACATAAAATGTGGATCGAGATCACCTACTTTGATGCCAAGGACACTGCTGTGCACTGCCATTACACGGAGTCCCAGTGGGACTTTGCACTCACGTTGTGATTTGCTTCCCACCCACCCACCCCGATGGCCAAGGATCGCGGTAACTTTTCCTCCACCTCTCCGAAAGTCCAAATTCGAGATCAGCCATTCAGAGCAAATGTGGTGAGATTCAAGACTAATTAAATGAACTGCATCTCATCCCCTGAAGAATTAAACAGTGGAATTCAGCTGATGACCACCAATGTGGACAGTTTTAAAGGAGGGGAGCGGACAAATTGTTGGAGGATGAGGTCGCCCGGGGTTATGACTCTCAATGCCTGTCGGCGACCTCCGAATGTATGTATGTATGTATTTATTTATATTTCAGCTTTAGATACCGACTTATATTTCAAATTTAGAATTGCAGCAAGCAGGTCTCTTGAACCAGGATGGTATGGACGGAAGAGGGTGTCAGCCTGGGATTGGGGCTTCCCAGGTTCACATCCATCTTCAGCCATGGAAGGTCACTGGCTGACTTTGGGCCAGCTACTCTCTCCCAGTCCAGCCTACCTCACAGGACTGCTGTGGGGAAAAACTGGAGGGAGGGGCGCTGTGTCTGCTGTCTTGAGCTTGAGAAAGTAAGGCAGGTTCCATAGCTGACCCAGGCAGTAAATTAATTAATTGAGCCCCCCACCTTCTTTTTGCAAGCATGCTAAAAGCACCTGTTGCACCACTGCCCAATGTGGTGGGACCCCAAACCTGATCCTGCAGGGGCATTTTTTCTTTCGTGACCCACAAAACTCCACCTGCATCTTAGCACTCAGGCGTGGGACCCCCTTTCAAAACCCCATGGATAGCGCCTGCATGGATTTAACACGCCCAGGGTTCGAACAGGGCAGCCCAGAGGGAGCGAGGGCAATCGTGCTCTCCTTCCACGCCATTCACAACTTGCTAAGCATCTCTTTGATGGGCGCCGCCCCCCCGCAAGAGCTGCTCATAGCATTGCAGGCGGAAAAACAATGCCTCGCCTCCCATTGGCTGGCGGTGACGTCGTGCTCCGGAGCTTCCATCGGCCTTCGTTCCCAGCGAAGCCACCTCTTCCTGGCCCCAGCTGGCTCTGCTTAATTTCACAAACTAATTAATCTGCCATGGGATGGAGGAGTGCTCCCGACAGGCAGGGTGTACATTATGCGTGCCAGAGAGTGGGGAGGGAAGGAGAGGTGGGCAGTGTTTGGGAAGGCTTACAACCACCATTATTACCAAGTGTTTCTAATTAAACAAAAATGTTAATCTTGCACCACATTGTGCAAAAACTCCTCCGAGTTTAATTAAAACAACCGTGGCTGGAGGCACAATCAGATTCGAGATGTGATCGGCGGGGGAACGCACTTCCCCAAGGGGGACAAGGCCCAATTATTCAAGTGGCCCAAGAGAAGGGTGCTCTGTTGCCTCCCTTGCAAACATGGCCAAGTGTCGTGGACTATCCACGCTAACCAAAAAGTGGAACAGGTGGGCTTCCTTGGAAGCAACTGGTGGAGCTCTCTGTGAAAGGAGCTCTTGTCAGCCAACAAAGCCCATTAGCTAAACCTGATGGGAGCTGGAGTCCAGGAATGGGTGGAGGAGAGAACTTGAACTATGGAGGAACTTCCTGATTGTGAGAGCTATGAAACAGAGGACCAGTAGGCCTCCTGGAGTCATGGGGGCTCCATCCGTGGAGGTTTTCAAGCCAAGGTGGGATATCCATTTGTCTGGGGTGGTCTGAGGATTCCTGCACCAGGCAAGGGGCTGGACTAAATGACCTCCAAGATCCCTCCCAACCCTACCCTTCTAGTCCAATG